TCTCACATTGAGGCCAAAGGAGGATAGGAGTAGATGACAAAGGCTAAGTAGCTATGTGCATATGATTGTATAAAACAGTATTTTCTGAAATGAACTCCAAGAAAAGGAAACAAGAGGTTTTTTTTTTAAGTTGCTGCTGTTGCTGTTTTTGTTTTCTTTTCCTATTTTCTTGTTAGTTTCTTTTTATTTGAGAGGGTAAGGGGAAGCACAGAAAAGGTGGAACAAGGGGTGAACAAATAAAACAGTGGTATTCAGTAGGCACTATGTGGAAAATGAAATGTATATTTTGTTGGTGGGGATGGGAAAAACTGGGAGAGAGCAAGGGAAGGGGAGGCATGGTTCAAAATTGTACTCAATACCTGAATCATGTAACTGTAATGTCTCTGTATATCACCTCTACAATAACAATTAAAAGTAAGTGTCTCAGACTTTCCTGCCCAGGCTGGCTTCAAACTATGATCCTCTTGAATAGCTAGGATTACAGGTGTGAGACACTGGCACCTGGATGCACAATTTTTTAAAAGGACTACTCAGTATTCTGTAATAACAGACAGTGCATGTGCTCTGTACACAGAGAAACAGAGAGACAGAGAGAGATGTTATAAGATTAATTATAGCTTTTATTCCTCTAGTCAACTTAATTGGCTGCTTTATTAAAAAGTTTAAAATTACATATTAATCCATATTCATATAATATTTGGGAAAGATATTCATAAAGAAAGCTAATAAGTATGTCATTATGGCACTTGAAACTGCTTGAGCCTGCTATGATTCATATATTTTAAAGCAAGTCATTTTGAAAATGTCTATACTTACTAATTTAAAAAATATATTCAACCTAATGCATATGTATAAAGTACATTACAGTTGGTAACTGCTGCTCTAGCATATACAATGCCAGTGACTCATACCTATAATCCTATCTTACTCCAAAGCTGAGATGTGAGGATCATGGTTTGAAGCTAACTGGGCACATAAATCCTTGAGGCCCTTATTTCCAACTAATTAGCAAAAGCTAAAAGTGGAGGTGTGGCTTAAATGGCAGAGCACCATCCTTGAGTGAAAAAGCCGAGTGTGAAGTCTTGACTTCAAGATCCAGTACCAGCTTGTGCATGATTTGAACCCAGCCCAAGCAGCAAAGTCCCTGAGACTCTTCTCCAAATAAGCACCAGAAAAGCTGACTGTGGAGCCGTGGCTAAAAGCTCAGGAATAGACCCCAAGACTGGCACATAAAAAGTTAATATTTAGACACATTTTACTCTATTCATCTTGGTTAGAGTAGGATTATAAATTCAGAATGATTGTTCTCATATCCAAATCACTCTCCTATTTACCATGTTGCCTGTCAATCTCAGTGAAATGTAAGACTGAAGTTGTAGAAATGATCTTAAGTAATCAAGAGATTATAGTGTTATTATTATAATATGAAATAACGAGATAACTTTTCTATTACTACTTTATTTTATTGCTGGTTAATTTATTTTAGTAAATATACTATATCCTACTTATGTAATATTAAGGTAACATTAATTATACAGAAGTTAAAGACCAAACATAGAAAAACATACCCAGGACAATTTTCAGTAAATTGAACAACAAACAAAAAAAAGTGCAACAAGGATTACAATTCTGTAAAAATATGGTCATATATGGATATGGATAAAGACAAGAGAAGAACAAACCATCACATTATGATAAAGAAGGTAAAATTTTTCATCTTTAATTTTTTATGTCAAGTTAATAAATTATTTCATCAATGTTTTAAAGGAGTTACCCTCTTTATCATAAAAAGGTTAAATTATGTCCTTTGTATAACTCTAAGCCCCCAGAAATATTAGGGTATTTTTAAATCTTTTACAAAATTTCTCATTTCATTACATTAAAATCTAACTAGCTCTGTGCAAGGCAAGTCAGGGGAGCTTTCCCTATCTCAATTTCTGCCTATAAATCTGATTTGCTATCAAAGGTAAGAATATTAGACTTAATCAAATAAGTTCTAAGCTTTGAGATCTCCTCAGGAACAGCATGACTCTGTGTAAGTCAGTGGGCATCTTTAATCCTGATGCTCCACAACCTTGAAGTTTCAGTACTTAGAAGCAAAGTGCTTAAAGTTTCATCTCAGATCATGGAGTCCAATGTTCAGCACATTATTTTCCCAGAGCAGAGAAGATAAAGGAGGTAAGAGAGGTAGGGGATGGGTCCGTGAGCTGTATGAGTCTCAGAAAGAAAGAAAGAGAAAATGAGAGAGAGAGAGAGAATGTAAACAGAAAATGGAGACAAAAAGCGAAATCAGAGAGAAACAGAGTAAAAGAGAAGGGTAAAAGACAAAAGAAAATGATAAATGAGTGGAGAAAGGAAAAGAGAATGAAGAGAGAGGAAAGGAGAAAAGGTGAAAGAGAAAGAATAAGAAAGGGAGAAAGAACCAGTGAAGAGAGAGGGAAAAGATGGAAAGGAACAAAGGGAGAGAAAAAGAGGGAGAAAAAAGAAGGAACAGAGAAAGGCAGAGACAGGAAAGAGAAGCAAAAAAAATGGACTAAGAGAGGAGAAAGAGAAAATGTGAAAGAAAAGAAAGAAAAGGTAAAAGAAAGGGATAGAGAAAAGAGAAGAGACAAAGGGAGAAAGGAGAAAGACAAAGTGACAAAGAGAAAAAGAGGAAAGAAGAGAGCAAGAAAGAAGGGAACAGAGTGAAAGAGGTGAGAAATAAAAAGAGAAAAAGAAAAACAGAATAAAAGAGAGAAAGGGAAAGAAAAAGAGAAAACAATGAGAAAAGAGAAAGAAAGAACAAGAGATAAAGGGAAAAGGGAGGAAGAAAGTTAAAAAGGAGAAAGTAAGACGAAAAAGGAAGGAGAAAAGAAGAAAAGGGGAATAAAGGGGTGTGAAGAACATAAAAGAAAAAAGAATGAAAGAGGAAGAGAGAGAAAAGGAGCTAGAGAAAGGAAGAAAAATGGAGAGAAAAAGGAAAGACAGAAAGGAACAAAGAAAATGAGAGAGAAAGAAGGGAGAAAAGAGTGAAAGACAGAGAGAAATAAAAGAGGGGAAAGTAAATGAAAGAGAGAAAGTAAAAGACAGAAAGAAGTGAAAAATAAGGAAAAAAGAAAGGGAGGGAGGGAAGAAGAGAATGAGAGAGAGAGAGAGAGAGAAGTGAGTAAGGTGGCTCACACCTGTAATCCCAGCTATTTATAACACAGAACAATTGCCTTTGGAGAGCCGAAAGTTAAGAACACCCTCCATCTCAACAAAACAAGCCAGGCATGGTGGCAAACTCTGTGACCAACCTCTTGAGAAACACAGGCAAGAGGAATAGGTAGGAAAATCGCAGTTTGAGGGTGCTCCAGGGAAAAACACGGGATGCTTACCTGGAAAATAACAAAAAGGGCAAGAGAAGTCGGGTGCTGGTGGCTTATGCATGTAATCCTAGGTATGCAGGAGTCTGAGAGCTGAGTATTGCAGTTCAAAGCCAGCCCAGGCAGGAAAGACATAAGACTCATCCCCAATTAACTACCAAAAAGCCGGAAGTGGAGCTGTAGCTGAAGTGGTAAAGAGCAAGCCTTGAGCAAAAAAGCTCAGGAACAATGCCCAGGCCCGAGTTTAAGCCCCAGGACCGGCCCTCCCCCCCTCCCGCCCCCAACATAAAATAGCTAGGGATATAATAAAAGTGGTAGTGCAAAATACAGGGGGGAAAGCCGACAAAAAGAAGAGAGGAGATAGAATAACATATATTAGAAACTCCACAAATTCAAGACTCTTAAACTGTGAATATTCGCAGTAATAAGGGGAATTATGACATGGGTAATGACATGGCCCATACGCGTATAATTTCAGGGTACCAATAACAAATATTTTACCTCTATTTTTTTCTTTACCGTGGATAAAAACGAACAAAACAGATAAATTATTCAAAGTTCACTATCGCCTGTGCCGGATGGAGTGCAAGTTAAGAAAAGCCTAGCAGGAAATAGAACAAGTTTAATGCATTCATAATCGAATTTCAATCCTTTGATAACCAAAGCTATTCATTAAAACCATCCTATCTCTCCGGGCTTGCAACAGGAATAATGTATGGGAGAGGGATGTGAGGGTGGCGTAAGTAAGTTAGTTCCGATTATTCCAAACCGTTCCATCTTCACTTTGTCTAGATTAAAAACCAGCCCCCGGCTCAGCACTGGTGGCTCACGCCTGCAATTTAGCTGTTCAGGAAGTTGAGATCTGAACATTAAGGTTGGAAGCCACTCTCCTTATGTCGAAAAAACTACCAAAAAGCCAGAAGTGGAGCTGTGGTTCAAGTAGCAGAGCTCTAGCCTGGAGCACAAGTTTCAAGGTCTTGAGTTCAAACCGGAGGACCGCCACACACACACACACACACACACAGACACACAGACACAGACACACAGACACACAGACACACAGACACACACACACACACACACACACACACACACACACACACACACGACATGTTGGGAAAATCGAAGCCATAACTCCACCTTGAAGTGAAGACACCAAGGGGCTCTAACTCCGCCCCCAGGTGAAGAAACCGCGTGGCCATGTCTCTATCCCCACCTGAAGACACCCACGTCTCAAACACGCCTTCGTTTCTCCGTAACGAGGTTTTTGGAAAAAGTACTGAGACATGTGATCGTCCCAGGAATAGGTGCCAAGGATCACAGAGGATGAAAGCCACCATTCCACCTTCACCCAGGCGCGATGCGCTGGACAACCGCACCACGAATGGGGGAGGAGGGGCGAGGGGGAGAAAGTGCCACAGAACTACCAAAAGTGTCCGAACCACTCACTGGCCTCTGCTCAGAGCCTTATCCCTCAGAGCCCGCAGATCCACTCCACTTCTGAGGGATATGAAAAAAGTTATTAAAGACTAATTCTGCCGAACTAGAATTTAGTACCAAAAGGGGGTAAAAAAAAAAAAAAAAAAAAAAAAAAAAAAAAAAAAAAACAGAACGCAGAGCAAAGTCTGGGGGAAAATGAAAAGTCCTAAAATTTACCTCAGATATATGAGCAAAGTTAACTTGAGGGCTTCTGATGCCGCGAAGCGACTGAAGGGGGGCGGACCCGGACGACTGGGTGGTGAAGTGACCTCGCGGTGAGCCGCTCGCGGAGAACGAGGCTTCTGTGAGGGGTCGACCTACTTAACGAGAAGGGGCGGTACGTGACCCTGAACGGGACGCGCTCTGATTGGTGTATTCTGGTATTGGTTCAAAGGACACTTTTCTTTGATTGGCCAGGAAAGTCAAGCGAGAAAAGGGAGGGGTTGGACGGGTAAGAAAGTTGTTCCCTAGACAACGGAGACGCAGCACTCACCGTCGCCAGTTTTCTGAGGTGTCCCGCGTCGGGAACAAGGTGAGGAAACTCGGACCTCAAGACGGGAGGTCTTCAAACTTTGGAACTTTACAGAAACTGAGATCTTCAGATATTTTAAAAAGCTACAAGTTCAGGCAAGCACCACTAAATCTCACTTTCCTAGAGAAGCAGAATAACTGCCTACAAAACTCGGACCGCGGTTGTGACAGATGAGACAGTAGGAAGTCAAAGGATGAGTACTGACTAACGGTCGGCCAAGCAGTTTGTCTCAACTTTCACTTTAATCCGTCCTTCCTCTCTCATTTAAAATGACTAAGTTAAGCTTTTCTTATAATAGATTTATTTTAGACTAGTATTTTAGGCAAGATTTATCTTAAACTAATATGCCCAGGTTGCGGTCTATTTTGGCAATTGGAAATAGATAATATTTCTCGGACTGAAAAAAATAAAAGGTTGTTGCCACTGTGTCGTGAATGCCACTGTGAGAACAACGTTTAGACTTTGAGAATTTCTGTTGCCTGTAGTTCTAATTGAGCTTCACCTAGTTTGTTTTGGAGCTGGCAAGGCAGATCTGCACTCTGGAGAAGCCTTGAATTTACAGAACTGTTAACATACCAAGGGCTGATTAGCAAAGTAGACAGTTTTTTTTGTTGTTCACAATGTGTTTCAAAAAGCGAGAAGCTGGAAATATATATCTATACTTATATGTAGATATAAATATATATATTCTGAATGAAGGAACGAAATGGAGTTCAACTGGAACTGTTGATAGGAATCAATAACAGACTTGGCCTTGAAGAAAATAGGCCTGTTAGTTGGGGAGAAAATTTCAAAGTACTAGAAAGAACATTTGCAATAATTACTATACGTCTAGGATAATTTTATCAGATGAGCAGAAAAGCTCAAAAGCTATGTACATATGACCATATAAGATGATGCTAAGTGAAATGAACCCCAAGATATGGACACAAGAGGTCTTTCTTTGTTGTTGTTTTTTAATGTACTATGTGATGTTTTTTATTTCCTTTGTATGTTCTTCCCCTTATGGTATATCCTCTGTTGTCACTGTACTTGATTTTAGTATCCTGCGTTTTGTACATACATTTTATCTAATTTGGGGAGGGGAAGGGGAATAACAAAACCAAGGACACAGGATGAGCCATTGCAACAATGAGAGGCATATAAGACACTATATTGGAAATGAACTTTACAACTTTGGGGGAGAGTGACGGAGGTGGGGGAGGGAAGGGATAGTGGAAGAACAACAAGGGGTTGGTAACAATGCGCCACAAGAAATGTACTCATTACCTTACTCATGTAACTGTAACACCTTTGTACAGCACCTTTACAATAAAATAAAATTTAAAAAAAAGACATTTGCCACCTCAACTGAGAAAGGGGGAAAAAAACTATGGCTTAGCATACCGAGTTCATCTGAAATGTATGACACACCTTTTGATAACAAAGGGTAAACTCTATAGAAACAAGATTTGTGTGTGTGTGTGTGTGTGTACATACTAGTACTGGAGCTTGAACTCAGCACCTTTTTTTCCCCCCCCTTTCCACTCAAGGCTGCTGCTAAACCACTTGAGCCATACCCCTACTTCTAACAAAACATTTTCATCTCCATTTAAAAACTCATTTTGGCCAGATGCTGGTCACTCAAGCCTTGTAATCCTAGCTACTCAAGAGGCTGAGATCTGAAGATCATGGTTGAAAGCCAGACCCATCGGTAAAGTCCACAAGGCTCTTATCTCCAATCTCCAATTAACCACCAGAAAATCAGAAGTAGAGCCACATAAGGTTGTTAGGCACTCAGTGTAAATAGATGGTTAAAATGATAAATCAAAAATCAGAAATATGTTTTCAACTTAGGTGCATGGAAAATTTCAGGTACTTCCTGAAAGTGTCCTCCACTAAAGATATCTTAAAATTGTGATATATGTGTGTGTGTGTGTGTGTGTGTGTGTGTGTGTGTGTGTGTGTGTGTGTGTGTGTGAATTACATAGTTAAAAATATTTTAAACTTGTTTAGTTCCCATAGTTAAATATAAACAGGTATATTTGATAGTAATGAAAGAAACTTAAAAATGAAAAACTTCTTGGGTTTTGTAAAGACACTTCAAATGAATTATTTTTATTCAATCCAGGGCCTCCCACATGCTTAAGCATGCTATCTACCACTGAACTACACTGTCAGTCTGCAAATGAAATATTTTTAACAGGGAATTATTGATAACAATAATTAAAAAAATATTTTTAAAGGTGTGGGGATAAGGGGAAGGTGTATTGCACAATGGCAGAGCACTTGCCAACAAGCTCAAAGCCTTATGCTAAATCCCCAGCATCGCCAAAAAAAGTAAAAGAAAAAATAGGCAGTGTATTTAACATAGATATAGGCAGAGATGATATGATGTTTACTTTTGTGTTTGCAGAAGAATTTTAATGCAGGAATTGCTAAATAAGGCACTATATAAATATAATTTCAAAAGAAATGCCAAATTGATGTCAAGAATAAACAGGTTTTTGAATGTTTTGAAATCATTCATCCATAGAGAACCAGAATTCTACTGGAGAATATATTTTTACCTATTTACTTAGGTTCCAATGGAATAATATTTGGTGATTCTGTGTTACTCTGATTTTATTTACCAAGTATACATGAATTAATAAAATATTTATTTTAGTTTGCACAGCTGGTGCTCTATCACTTGAGCCATGCCTGCAACTTTACTTTTTGGAGGTTATTTTGGAAGTGGAGTTTCATGGATTTTTCTGGGTGGGTTAGCTTTCAAACTGAAATACTCAGAATGTTAGCCTCCTGACTAGGATTACAAGCGTGAGCCAGCTGCACCTGTCTTAGACCTTGTGAAAAATCACTATTCTATCCAAGTTTCTAGATAAACAGAAAACTACACTCCAAAATATAAAGGCAAAACTAGACACTATGTTAAAAATGAACTATACAACTTGTGGGGGAAGAGGGTCAGGAGGTAAAATCTGGGAGAAAATCTGGGAGGTGACACTGTTCAAAAAGAAATGTACTCATTACCTGACTTACATAACTATAACTGCGCTGTACATCACTTTTACAAAAAAATATAAATATAAAGGAAGAAAATTATAGGAGATGTTTAATGAGCTATTTTGTTTTTAACATACAGGAAAGGCAGAAAATTAGGCTAGGACTTTATCCTGAAGGATTTTGATTGCCACTTTCAAAGTGAACTCAGATATATATCAAATTTACAAGTAGAACTAGATAACACTGGATAGTTAATCAGAAAGTATCTTCTGTTGTGTTTTTAAAAAGTCTGTTCTTTTTGTGTCAAATGAATTTTAATATATTTTATTATTTTAGTGTGTTAGATGTCTAAATACACCAATAGGGCCTTTTCTATTGAATTTAGAATATTTTCCAAAAATTCACATAATTTTTTGGGTGTGTGTGAGTGTAACTGTACTGGGGTTTGAAATGAAGGCCTTGTCCTTCCTAGGCAGATGTTCTACCACTTGAGCCATGACTCCAAGTCCATTTTTGCTTTAGTTATTTTTAAGGTAGGCTCTTCAGAGAAGTTATTTGTTTATGTTGTACAGGGCTGATCTCAGAGTGCAATCCTCCTACCTTGGTCTCCTTGTAGTTGAGTGTACAAACATAAGCTACCACACTGCTTATCTATTGGGATGGAGTCTTACTAATGTTTTGCCCAGGCTAGCTTCTAACAATGATACTCCCAATCTTCACCTCCAGAAAGCTGGAATTACAGGCGTGCACCATCACACTAGGGTCATTTTCTCTTTTCATATTTTGAATTATTTAGGTATTCACAAAATATTTGTGACTATTTTGTTTCTCAAAATGTATCAACAAACATATTTGTTATATTGTATGTATAATTACTACCTTTGATACAGTAAGAATTACTCAAAGTACAAGTATTATCATATTTCTAGTCCATATAGCTATAATGAAAGTCTGTCATTTTATACCAGCATAATTTGGAAACCCAATTTCAGATATGCTTCAGATATATAAAGTATCATGAATATTTTGTCTTCATACATTCCAAGAAGTGGCATCCCCTTTAATATAGTCATTTTGAAAGTCTAACCTACATAGTCTAATGATGTTACTAATGCTTACATTACTTTAAAAATTCCTCTTCATGGGGCTGGGAAGGTGGCTCACTGGTAGAGTACTTGCCTTGCATGCATGAGGCCCTCAGTTCGATTCCTCAGCACCACATAAGCAGAAAAAAGGTGGAAGTGGGGCTGAGGCTCAAGTGGTAGAGTGCTAGTCTACAGCTGAAGAGCCAAGGGACAGCACCCAGGCCCAGAGTTCAGGCCCCACGACCGACAAAAAAAAAAAAAATCCTCTTTTAAAATTACCTGAGCCTTTAGCACATTCTTTTAAATATCTTCAATGAAGCAAATCTTTGGATTGTGAAAGTAGATGTGATATCTAGATATATTTAGAAATCACTTGGGGATGAGTCTGCTGTGTAATCTCAATGAATGATACTTTTTCTTGGTAGGACCTATGAAGGCAATTCCAAAAGAAAAGACAAATTCCACAATACTTTGAGCATTGATAAAATAATTTATATCAGTATGTAACCTTCCAATGTTACTATTCTGAAATGCCACATTCCTGCGAATTTAAAGCATGCTTCTTATGGCATTCATCAACTTTTGACTATGTTCTAACTGCAGTGATTGAAGATGTTCTGTATATAGGTATAGCTTCCCATTGGTCACAATGCTCTGAGTCTTGATCCTTCCCAAGTAGCTGGTAAGGATTTAGAAGTAATCTGTTTTTCCAGAATCCTGTGTCCAGTGCACCCACTGACACATAACCTACATTCATCACTTCCACTGTAGGTACTCAGGTGACACAAGAAAGCCACTGATGCACTGCCTGGCTTGTTTTCTCCTTGCCACAGGGACATTGAGCCTTGCGCTAACTCTAAACCTCCATTTAATTGCCAGCATCTCCCTATGGGCAGAAACCCCTGCTGTCACATCCTTACTAAACAGATTAAACCACATGAATATTCTGATTGCTACTTCAGACACTGTTTTGGGGACATCTGATTACTTTTCTTATGGGTTAGCTTTAATGGTCCTAGGTGTGTGTGTGTGTGTGTGTGTGTGTGTGTGTGTGTGTGTGTGTGTGTGTGTGTGTGTGTGTGTGTGCCAGTCCTGGGGCTTGAAAACAGGACCTTTTTTGCTCAAGATTAGTGCTCTACCAGCTCTACCATTTGAGCCACAGCTCCACTTCTGGTATTACTGGTGCTTGATTGGAGATAGGAGTCTCATGCCTGGACTTCCTTAGAACCGCTCCTCAGATTTCAGCCTCTTGAATAGCTAGGACTACAGGCATGAGCCACTGGTTCTGGCTCGGGTTTTTGTTTTTGTTTTTTAATTTCAACAGCGTACTGAATTCTCCAGAGGCTTGTGGTGAAGTACCTTTGAATACTGTCCCTGTGTGCATATAATAATGATTTTTTTTGTAGGGTCCGGTCGTGGGGCCTGAACTCTGGGCCTGGGTGCTGTCCCTCAGCTCTTCAGCTCAAGGCTAGCATTATACCACTTGAGCCACAGCACCACTTCCAGCTTTTTTCTTTTTGCTTATGTGGTGCTGAGAAATCAAACCCAGGGCCTCATGCATGCAAGGCAAGCGCTCTACCACTGAGCCACCTTCCCAGCCCCAATAATGATTTTTTTTTTAATATATAGCTTTACGTACCTTACCAAACTCTTTCACTTTGTTGCATAATTTGGCCATAACAACACTATTATAAAGTAATAATATAATAATTTCTGCTATATTTGTTTCTTCAACATCTCATTGTATAACCTTTAACTCAAAACTACTAATTTTGTCAGATATCTGGATGTATTTTTCACTTTTTATCATCCAAGGTAGAAAATGTTTCAATAAACATTTTTTCTTTTAATTATAGGTAAATATTTAAGGAACACCTAATCAATTAAGTATTTTCAAAGCTAAACAAGAGTCTCTGTGTTTAACATAATGTGCCAATTATTCATTTCCATAGCAGCCTACCATACCACACAGCAAGAGAAAATTGTTTTATCACCTTTTATGTCACGTCTTCCAATTTAATGAGTTTTCAATGTAATGAATTTTATCATTAACTTATTCTACTTTATTATTAGAAGTGATATTTATGCCAAGTAAAATTAAACTTCTCAAGAACTAATAATAACTGAAACATATTGCGTGCTTACTATATATCAGGTACTATTTCAATGTCCTTTACAGTATTAAGCTGTTTAATCTTTCTAGCAACTTAGAGATAGACACTTATTATCCCCATCTTACAGAAAAAGAAAATTAGACATAGAGAGTTTACCTAATGTGCCAAAAGTCACAGAGCTTAGAAGTAAATAATTGATATCCAAGCAGCATGAACCTGGCACCTCTATAATATATTGCCTCTATACTAGAGGTGGAGGGCAATGTAATATTTGTTTCATACCTTTTCCACTCTAATAGTTATTAATATTATCTTGATATTTAACAAAGAAGGTAAAAATAATGGTGAAGCATAAGAAAAAGCTTTGTAAAATGCCATCTGCCTGCAGATTGATTTTGACAAATAATTACAGCAGCACACATATTACCATTCTAAGCACAATGCACAAAGCCTTGTCATTTAATGAAAACACTAAAGTACTTCCTGAGAGTTAATTTCATAAAATGATGTTTAAGAAATATTATTAGAATTATAGAAGAGAATACTATTATATTTATGCCCAAATCACTAAAAATATGCCTAATTGCGTGGTCTTTATTCAGGTTATTATGGTCTGACATCTATGGAAAAGAAAAACAAACATTGGCATACATTAGTTGAACAAGGGAGTTTTCATTGTGACATTTCTATATGTGTAATATACCTCATCTACCTCCACTCCCACATCTCCCTCATTCCCTTCACCTTCTTAAAACAATTTCAACAGGTTTGATTTTTCTATTTTCATATGCTCATATGAAGTACTTCAACCTCTTCACCCTCACTCACCCTCTGTTCCCTGCCACCTCTGATTTTTATTTATTATTATTTTTTTAATTTTTCTTTATTGTGAAAATACTGTACAGAGGGGTTACAATTACATGGGCAAGATAATGAGTACATTTCTTATCAAGCATTGTAGCCTCCTCCTTTGTTTCCCCTTCCCATCCTCTCCCCCACCCCCCCACCTAATCCTTCCCACCCCCCCCACCAAAGCCACCTCTGATTTTAACAATCCCAGATTTCTTACTCTAAATACAACAACAGAGATTAGTTTCAAATTTGATTTTATAATTGTAGGTAGTTGTGATTTTTTTGTTTCAACTTTTAATGTGTCATTTCTAACAATAATACTGTTGTTAGAAAAATATTTATTTTATTGTGCATGAACTTTCAGTAAAGTCAATAAAGTGACCTGTGAAGAGTTTCCAAATAGCATTGTAATGTTAGGCCTCCATACAGTCCATTAAAAATCAAGATTAAGCACAGGGGTACAAATAATCCAAGACTTATATCTGAATATCTTCTTCTTCAGATATGGAACCTGATAATATGGACCCAGAAAATACAGAATTGGAAAGTAGAGGAGTTGAAATGGTTACTTCTGTCTCTGCACTCCAGGCATTGTCTAACCTGCTTTATCCTGAAGGAGAGGAAGAAGAAGAAGATTTTGACTCTGAACAGGTGACTATATACCTACAGATGCATTAATTTTGTCCAGGGAAATTGGGAACTTTATTTGAACAACTTGTTCTCTTCTCACTGTGTGAGCAGAGCTGTGTCATCTATACATTTATAGGAGGCTGAAGGGCTAGTTATTCATAAGAGTCTAACCTGTAGTACATTTCTACCAAACATAATTACATATTTTTTCCAAATCACCTGAACACTGAATAGAAAAATAATTCTGTAACTATGGTAGCAGTAGCCACATTTCAACATTTTGTCATTTTGTATTTATGGTCAAAGTCTGCCTGACAACCATTGCACAAACTGGTAGCTAGGACTATTTATGCCTAGACAATTATTTCTATAAAATAAACATTTTCAGTATGCAAGACTAATTGGGCCCTCAAGTTTCAGTCCCTTAATTTTTAAAAAATATGTCTACACATGAAAACAGAACAGAAAATACATGGAGCCAAATAAGCTAGGACAAACTAGCTTCAACCTACTGAAATTGGCTTTCCAGCACATACTCCAAGAACTGTGAAGTGTAATTAGTGAGTGGCATTTGGGGTCAGGACAAGTAACACTAGGAAGCCTTAGCAAGAGGGGCTTCCTTTGAAATAGAAGGGATCCTTGTACTAACTCTTCACCTTTCACTCCAAGAACATTGCTATTTTTTCCAGAACAGCTAGAATTTTTTTTTCCGTGGTAGAGCTTGAACTCTGGGCCTGGGCACTGTCCCTCAGCTCTTCAGCTCGAGGCTAGCACTCTATCACTTGAGCCACAGCACCACTTCCGGTTTTCTGGAGGTTAATTGGAGATAAAAATCTCACTGAATTTCCTGCCCCAGCTGGCTTTGAACCACGATCCTGAGATCTCAGCCTCCTGAGTAGTTAAGATTACAGGCATGAGCCACTGGTGCCTGGCTAGAAAATTTTTTACCACCTTCTTCCCCTCATTCTCCTGCTCCTTAAGTAGCAGTGAACCTTGGCTATTAGACTGCCTAGGGCAAGTAAAGTTTGGGGAAGAAATCTTTTAACAGAGTATTTCCATATTCATAAAATAATTTAAATGAACTTTTCATTCTGGTTGTGAATAAGCCATCTCTCACAAACATGCACATTCATTTCATCCTCCCAAAATTCTTTTTTGCCATTTGTGAACAAAACAAGTTAGATTATGAGTGAGCTCATATCAACAGTGGATTATGAATGTCTCAGATCAATAATAAATTGAATTTCTTTCCTCCAGCAAGAGCTTAACATGGAACGGGGCAGAAGACATGAAGTGTAAATTATATTTGTAGAAGAGGAAAACTGAGTCAGCTTGGAGTCAGGATGAGGAGTAAGGAAGTACTCGTGAGGGGAAAAGGAAACTAAGAAAAATCAGGATATTAACAACTTCATTGGATATAAACAACAAACAAGACAAATGTTCTAAGCAGTGTGCCAGTAAAATTTGGAAAGCTAGGGCATTTTTAGACTACCTTATTTGAAATATCAGAGTAAGAATTTTCTGGTGCCTACATTCTAGTAAAGGAAGGATTAGGTCATGAAGAAAAGGTATAATAAGTATTTGAAAGACAGTAATAATGAATATAGTGAAGTGGAACTTGTAAATAGAACTGGGGTAGAAATAAGGATCTTCACAAATGACAAAGCCCAATCCCTTTGGTGTTGATGTCTAATGTTGTTTATTTGCATCTAGAAATGTTTTCTGGGAGTGTTTATGAGAACAGAGAGACTTTAATATAATTTTACCAAATTGTACAATTTATAAAGGAAAATTACTATAATAATGTATGAATCTGTATATCTGGGTTATGAGCAATTTTGAAATAATTGGTCATTCAGACACCTCAGTACAGATATCATTAGAGGGTATAGAATTAGAGTATCAGTGCAGTGGAAGAATAATTAATGTTTCTGATGAACTATTAAATTTTCCAGGACAGAAACTGCCTTTCATTTTTTTTTACCATGTATTAGTCTGGGGAACTGTGGGATGATTACAAGAGTGATATGTTTTTGAAAATACACTCTCTGAAAACAGCAAGAGAACTGTTGCATACACATTGGTTCATTTACACTACCCCTCTTCTAAATGAATTGTTAAGACCTGGGAGATCGAGAAGTTAGTTTGTCTGCTGTTTTTCAAACTCCTGAGAGGATCTTGAGACCTGTGGGAAATAAGGTTCGCCATTCTTCACAGACACTATAAGGATGTTGTTCTGTAATTTTGGAGTGGCAGGAATGGCAATGACAAATAGCTCAGATGATTGGCTATAGATTCATGGTTATGAGTGAAAAGATGTCCTTAAAGAAAATAATTGGAAAGTTTTGAAAATGTTTTTATGATCACATTTCATCTTTTCACTGGGAATTTTTACTTTTAATCACTTATTTTTACTAGGATAATAAATCAAAAGTCCTCTATTCTGAGATATGGATCCAATTATCTCTTTCCATGGAGAATACACCAATTTTTGTCAGGAATATTCAAGAGGTTCTTTCCACTGATTTTAATTTTCTGTCAGAGACACTTGAAAAAAACAAGAGGCCCTCATGTTCCAAGAAACGCTTTGCTTTGATTGACCATTAGTATTCTGATGATTAATAATTTAATAAAAGTACTACCCATTATATGACCGTAGTGATCAGGAAGAGAAAAAAATGATCAAAAATATTGTCTTGAGATTTTCACATAAAAATGCCTGCAGTGCCTTAGACCCAGATATAGTAGTTTTGAATCGCCTTTTTGTAAAGGAATAGTAACTATCTCACATGATTTTGAGATGTCATACATTAATTTATGATTTATAACTCTTGGGCTCATTTAGCATAACAACGGCTCAGGTGAGCTTTTCCACCAGCTGTCAAGGACAGACACTACTCTCCTTGCCCAAATAGGATATTCCAACCTCTGTGTATGTCATGTCTGAAGCCTTAGAAGTTGAGTGCAGGGCCATAAGAAAAGAGAGATAGAGGTGCCAACTTAGAGTGCTACCACTTGAACCTCAGCCTGGCTTTTTGCTGTTTGTTTGGGGAGTGGTGCTGGTTTTGGGACTTGAACTCAG